ACCAGCCAGGGAGCTTTTATGGCTTAGGTAAAGTTTTATCAGCATTTTTGGAGGATGAATTCGTGGATCAAAAGATAGGCATATTTCAATAGATATTGCCAACTGGCCTTTGCTATTTAAACTACTATCTATGTAGAATGAAGGATTCTTAGAGGAATTTTAGGCACCTTCATCCAGTGCTACATCTTGCCCACCAAATTGGGATATATTAGCAAGGTATTTCAGAGTTTCTTCTGCCTGCTTTTTCTCCATTATGTCGCTCTTCTCAGAGGGCTGAGGGTGCCAAAGATCCTGGCATATTCTTTTAGTGTGCTCCTAACTGTGGTTTCTCTATTACACTTTTTAAAAATCTTCACCCGGAAGATGTGTTTTATAGATTTTAGAGGAAGGTGGTGGAGGGGGAGAGAAACATCGATCTCTTGCCTCCCCCATGTTCCCCAACTGGGGATCAAAGCATGAACCAGGAATCGAACCTGAAACCTTTTGGTGTATGGGATGAAGCTCCAACCAAATCACGGGGCCGGAGCTGTATCATGCTTGAATAGTGTGTGATATGAGGTGATATCACTTCCCTATTTTAATGATGCTGGCATATTTATTTTTTTGTTTTTTCCATTTTAGAAAAAGGAAGTTGGGTAAGGCTGAGTCTACCAGTATATCCTAGGGCCTCTGCAGGGCTAGAATTTTAATTTTTTGAATGAGTAGAGTTCTTCCTGATTTAGCTGTTTATCAACAGGCAGTCATCCAGAGTAGCAGGAAACTTGTTTTAGTCCAATGATTCCCATATTCAAATCACCTGGGGGATCTTATTTATGAAAATGCAGGTTTCAAATTATCAGGTCAGGGTTAGAGCCCAGGATTCTGGAACTCTAACAAATTCTCAGGTGATACTGACACTACTGCTCGTTGGTGGCCTGCAATCCGAGCAGCAAAGATTTGGCCTTTACTTTGCAGTCCCTGCTTATCATCAGTCAAGGCCTAAGTCCTATTATCAGACCCCATGCTTCTCCTTAAGCCCTCTGGTCCTTGTCCTGCCACTACAACTGTAAACAGAGATAGGGAAGCTCGTAAAGCCAGATTTTTAAAGCAAAGCTATGGCTGCAATTAAGGAATCAAGGTAGGGGTTTTTGTTTTTGTTTTTTGCTCAGATACCCCACTGCTTTGGAGTAATTTTGTGCTCTCAAATGTAAGACCAGCTTCCTCCCAGGATCCTCACCACATTTAGCAACATTTCTTTGCAGGTTTTGAGTCTCAGAATTTTATGTCTCAACTTCATCCAAGATGGAGCTTCCACATCTGATTCTTGTTCATGTTACTTTTCCTTGGTTTCAAAAAGGAGGGACAGATAGAGACACCTTGGTTCCACCACTTAAAATTCAGAAGTTAGTAAATACATTTAAAGGCTCCTCATTACATAAATTCGAATTTGCCTCCTCGTGGGTTCACCACTCTTCTGCAGAGACTGGGAGAAGGGACGGGGAAATGAAGTTTCCTTTCTTGAAGCCAGTTGTCCTTGTAGATAAGATCCGTCCTTCATGGGAGTCTTACTTCCTGGTGGTTGGTCTCTACCAGACACCTTCATTGAGGGCAGCCGCCTTTGGAGGACTTTGAAAGTAACTCCCCTCACCCTGGCTGAGTGGCTCAGTTGGTGGGAACATTGTCGTCACATACACGAAAAGGCTGTGTGCTCAATCTCTAGTCAGAGTGCGTATGGGAGGCAACCAGTTGATGTTTTTGTCTCACATCAATGTTCCTCTCTTCCCAACCCTTTTTCCTCTCTCTCTAAAATCAATAAACATATCCAAGGGTGAGGATTTTTTTAATTAGAATAATATGGTTGATTGTCCTAGGTAGATGGCAGGCAGTTCTTCAGATACTCTCACTATAGATCTGTTTCACCAAATGGCAAGGGTTACTGGGATCTCTGTATGTTACTGGGAAGGGTTGGGAAGTCAATGAGAGATTCTGCAAATTCCAAAAAAGTTTCAGTTTAGGCTGCTAACTCTCTTTGTAGCTGCTCTAGTTCACACTAAGTCCATTCCATTTCTTCATACTTTTAAAAGTCATACTATTACATTCTTGTTTAAAACGTCTAATATTACTAACACTAAATTATCTCTTGACCAGAATGTCCACTCTCAGTCCCCTCCCCAGAAGAAACACTTACCGGTTGAATGTGTCTATTCAGAACTTTTTCTGAGCATTCACATACTTACATAAATGTACCAGAAATGTATTTTAAAAATATAGTACTCTGTATTCTGAAAAATTTGCTTTTTTCAATCAATGTCTTTTAGTTAAATCCATGTCAATATTCAGTACATTCTTTTAAACTGTTGCTAGTATTTCTACTCATTCCTCTTCCAGTGTTTCATATACTACCCATACTGCCTTCCAAAGGGGCAGTAGTGAACATTTTTAAAACTTCATTGCCTCCAAAGTGGCCATGATCAGAGTAATCTTTTCTCCCCACCAGTGACAATTTTTAAGATTACATTGTTTAAATTTGTGTCACAATACTAGCAGGGTTAAGCGGGGACTCATATTTACCAGCCATCTGTATTTCTTCTCTGATTTGCCCATCCTTATCCTTTGACCACTATTATACATGTTTTGTTGTCCTTTATTAATTTCTTACATCTCTCCCTTTGTGTTATTTCCCTTTCTGTTGCCCTTTAGCTTTGTTTAAAAGCATGCTGATTTTTGGTACCAACTTCATCAATCTTCCTTTATGGCTTTCATTTTGTCTATTTTAGAAAGATATGCCCAACATCAAAGTCAGAAACATACTTTACTACATTTTCTCCTAACTTCTGCTAATTCATTTACTTTCATATTTAGGACTTTATTGTACAGGAAGTCATTTTTGTGGGTGATGTGAAGTAAGTTCCATGAGTGTACTTATAGAAGAGAGGGTGGAGTGGGAAGCTGCCAGTAGGGGTTACTAACATAATTTTCACGTAGAAAAGAACTTTACAGTCCTGTAATTGTCTCCTCTGTACCTCCAGCCTCCATACAAGCCAACTCAGAGCCTGAGCCTCTGTAGGGACCTTTGCAGATGGGTTCCCATTACTGAATCCCTTACTATGCGACCATTTCAGTTAGCAGTTTCTTGTGCTACATTTCACACTCTTCTCCCTTTTGCCTTTTGCCAAATTTATCTCTTTCATCCACTAATGACCTTCTTTTCTGCTTTGTGTTTGCTACCTTTTACATTGTTTTATCTGTTTATTGGGCTATAAAGGGGAGATACACTTGTGTAACGTTTAACTGCAAAGAAAACCTTGGTTTGCCCCATGAAAGTTCTAATATTGACAGTTGCCTTTCACAAAAGTTGTACAATTCATACTTCCTCACCCAGCAACACAGAAGTGTCTCCTTTCATGTGCTTTTGCAATGCAAGTAGTTCATTGTTTTAACTTGTATTTCTTCTGATCCCAGTGAGATTCAGTACTTACCAGGTGTTCATCAGTCACCTGTTGCTTCTTCATACCCTTTGTCCATGGGGAAAGGAAGTGTAATTGTAGGAGCACTTGTATATTAAGGATATGAATTTCATGAGTTAATGATTTCCTCTAATTCTGATGTTTAAACCTTTTGTTCATACTATCCTTGACTATATAAATACTTTATTAAATAAAGTTCTGACAATCAAACCTAGAATCTTTGTGTGTGTGGCTTCTGGATCCACATCGTATTTAGGAAGATTGTTCTCACTCCATGATTATAAAGTATGTTACAGTATCCTCTCATCTGTTTCACATTTGGATAAAAGAATGGTGGGGTTTTGTTCAGAGCAGACAATTTTACCAATACTGTTAAGCCACTGGCATGAAATGTCACCTTTATTATATAGTTTCTCTATATGTATATCTGTATGTATGTATGTGTTCACACAATCTTTCAAGCCTTAAGAAATTCTTAGGTTTTTGTTAGGTACAAGGAATCTTTAGATTAACTTGGGGCTTACTAACGTAATACTGAGTCTTCCCCCTACAGAAGGATGTGTCTTCAAGTCTTTCTCTTATTCTCTATTTTCATCATTTTTTGTACCTGTATTCATGTGAGTTGGTTAGTGCATTGATTGCATTCTCAAAAAGTCAGGAAGTAATAAGTATAAAACAAGTCAGATATAAGGGAACAGGGAGTGGTTTGAACTGTGGTGAACTGGAAAACATATGCTCACCTGAAGGGATTCACATTCCTTCTAAACTTGATACACCAACAAACGTGTGTAGGCAACAGTTTATGAATATTGACCTATAGTTTTGGTTTCCTTTTCTGTCTAGTTTTAGAATTACAGCTTGGAAGCTCAGGAACTTTAATTTAAATGACAGGGGTAATACAATGCATTCACCGGGGATTAGGAGCAAGGGTCAAACTTAGACTTTGTTTTTCAGTCTCCTTTGGTTATTGATCTTTTCCAGTTTTCTTAAGTATCTGTTTTGTCTCTTGTAAATGAAAAATACACCTCAGTACCATCTACTTACCACAAGTTGATTTTTAAAAGCTGGCTTCTTAGAACCGTTGACTATGTAGTGAAGCTAAGTGGTATCCCTGTATGTTCAAGCTGAACTAGAAGCCACCATCTCCCTCTGTGTTATGTACTCTAACCTCAGTTCTGCTGTATTAGATTCCCTGGTCACCCACCTTTAGAACAATGACCACTGTTCCTGATCAGAAACCTTTACAGCCTCTTGAGTCCTGAGCTGCTGCTTTTATTTCTCAGCTGATCATTGTCAAAATGATCATGTCTTCTTTGTATAGCATGGTATTTTTTTATTTTACATTGTTTATTGAGTGAATGCTTTATGTCAGGCACTCTGCTGAGCAACTCACATGCATCATCTCACTTAATACTCCTGTTAACTTTCGAGGTAGTACCATTATTATTCCCATAACATAAATAAAACGGAAGCTTACAAAAGACAAAATGTTTCTCCAAAATTAGAGGGCAAAAATGGAAGAGAAAAGATTAGAAGAATCAAGATCTACCTGATGCTGGAATATGAGTTTATAATTCTGGACAAGTCTCCAAAGAATGAAATGGATACTGGCAATGAGATGGGGCTTTGTAAGGTAGACTGGAACAGGGTATTGGAGGAAGGTCTTTTAGGCTATTTTGAGGAACGTGTGCTTTAACGTTAACAACTATGGGATGCCACTGAGAGGTTTTAATGAGAGGAGTGATGTGATCAAACTATTTTTAATACAAGTTTGTCTGCAGTGTGGACAACTGACAGAGTAAGTGGTAAATACGGGAAACCAGTTAGAAAGCTATTTCCATAGTCCATGTCAAGTAGATTATTGTGTACTGGACAAAGATGATGGAATGAAAATGATTAAAGGAGCGAGATTCAAGGCATATTTAGGATATAAAACCTACAGGTCTTGGCAACTGGCTGGACATGGAGGGTGAGGGAGAGGAGAGACTCAAGAATGACTCCATAGTATGAATTCTTTCATGATGAGCCAAGTGTGCACGCTGCCTGAAAGATTTCCTGCAGTCCTTGCATTCATAGGGCCTCTCTCCAGTGTGAATTCTCTGATGCAGAGTGAGAGAGCCACTGTAGCTGAAGGCTTTCCCACACACATTACATTCATAAGGCTTCTCTCCTGTGTGAATTCGCTGATGCTGAGCAAGGCCTGCATTCTGGCTGAATGTTTTCCTACATTCCTTACACATGTAAGGTTTTTCTCCAGTGTGACTTCGCTGATGTTGTGCCAGCGATGAACTATTGCTGAAGGCCTTCCCACATTCAATACATTCATAGGGCTTCTCTCCAGTGTGGACCCTCTGATGCTGATCAAGGTATGCAATCTGGCTGAAGGCTTTCCTACACACCTTACACTCATAAGGTTTCTCTCCAGTGTGAACTCTCTGGTGTTGAGCTAAGTGTGCGTACTGACTGAAGGCTTTCCTGCATTCCTTACATTCATAAGGTCTCTCTCCGGTGTGAATTCTCTGGTGTACGATTAGGTAACCACGGTGGCTGAAGGCTTTCCCACACACGCTACAAACATAAGGTTTCTCTCCGGTATGAATTCGCTGGTGCTGAGCAAGAAATGAACCATTACTAAAGGCCTTGCCACATTCAATACATTCAAACGGTCTCTCTCCAGTGTGGATCCTCTGATGCTGGGTCAGATGGGCAATCTGGCTGAAGGCTTTTTTACACTCGTTACACTGATAAGGTTTCTCTCCAGTGTGAACTCTCTGGTGTTGAGCAAGGTGTGCATTCTGGCTGAAGGCCTTCCTACATTCCTTACATTCGTAGGGTTTCTCCCCAGTGTGTATTCTCTTATGTTGAGCCAGATTTGCACTCTGGCTGAAGGTTTTCCCACATTCAACACAGGCATAGGGTTTCTCCCCAGTATGAATTCTCTGATGAAGAGTAAGGGATGAACTCTGGTTGAAGACTTTCTCACACTCATTACATTTCAAAAGTTTCTTCCCTACATAGACTTTCTTACGTTTCATTTCCACAGATTTTTTTCGGTAACTTCTCTTCTGTGGCTCATGCTTATGTACTCGTTCTTTGGTGGGAAAGCCCTGTTTTAGAGCAAATATTGCATCCTGGTGGAAAGTTTGCCAAGATTTAGTGTATTCATTACTTTGATCTTCAGTGCGGATTTCTTTATGAGTGATGATCAGTTGACTAGGATGGACCTCCTTACTTCCCAACTTGTTCTTAAACCAGTCCCCAGTTTTACAGTCTTCTCTTAAACTGGAGCAATCAAGGTTATAACCAAGATGGCTTCTTCCCATTCTCACTACTTTGGATGATTCTTCATAAATAACTTGCTTTGATGAAAGTTCACTGTTTTTAAATGCATACTCCCAATCTAAAAGATAGTAAGAAAAAAAAAACCTTTTGTGTTTATGCAGTAGCAGAGAAGAACTTTTAAAACAAAAATCAGTGAATAAAATACATAAGTTTGAGGATTTAACAGCTGTTAAATGCAGCCTAAAAAGTATGATATTATAAAGAACGAAAACTTAAGAAAGTTAAGGACATAAATTAATCATACATAACCAGTAGGGTAACTATCAGAAAAATTAAAAATTGAAGAGATTATTTAAAATCACAATCATCATTTTGTATCTACGTTAATATAACAGTCTGCAAACACGCTTCCTCTCTTGCCTCAGTTTATCCTGCATTCATGATATGTTCATTATCTTTAGTTAAACCCATTCATATCAGTGTGGCTATAAAACCTCCTGAAGATCCCCAGACCCAAAGGCACACCAGGTACAATTAGTTTCCTTAAGCTGTATATGAAACTCTGTGGTTAAACTTTTGCAGTCGGAGAAAGGGCTTCCTGAATATAATTTTCTATGAGGTATATTCCAACCAAATGTAAAATTTCAGTTAATCACTGAAGCTGAGATCCCTTCATGTAGAAGTAATTTTGTATCAAATTATTTATTAACCTGCCACAGGCTTTGATTTGCCTTTCCCTTTCCATTCTCAAATCAAATCACCTATTCTGCTCAAGATTTCCCAATGGTTTCCTACCACTTTCAAAATAAAACCAAAATTCCTATCATGGTTCACAAAACCAATTTAGCACATGAACATACATGGAAAACCTTTGATAACATTTCAGCAAATCAAATCCAGGAAACTATGAAAGCACAATCATGACCAAGTATAGTTTATCCCAGGAATGCAAAGTTGGTTTACTACGTTAAAACCAATCAATGATCACTATATCAGCAGATTTAAGATGAAAACCATATATCATTTCAATAGATGTAGAAAGAGTATTTTACTAAATTTATTAATAAAAATTCTCAGCAAACCAGGACTAGAAAGGAATTTTCTAAAACTGAGAAAAGATATTTAAGCAAACTAACCAACATCAACTTAATTGTGAAAGACTGAATACATTTCCCCTTAGGACTGAGAACAAGGCAAGTATATTTGCTCTTACCAATTGTATCCAACATTGTACAGGAGGCCCTAGCAATTGTAATAAATCAATAAAAACAAGGCATAAGAATCACAAAGGAAGAAATAACAATGTATTAGCAGATAACATGATTGTCTATGCAGAAAGAACTCAGGAACCTACAAAAAACTACTAGAATAACTACTGGATGAATCTAGCATGGTTATATAAAATATAAAGTTAATATAAACGTCACTTTACATTCTTGCATATTAGCAGCAAACAATTGGAAGGAGCTTTTAAGAATTCTATGTATAATAGCACAAAAAAATAAAACTCAGAAAAAAACTTTTTAAGCTAGTAAGACCATTATGTTGGATACTACAGAATATTACTAAGAGAAAGAAGACTAATAAATGGCTAAGTAAACCATACTCATGAGCTGGAAAACTCAATGATGTTAGGATGTCAGTTCTCCCCCCAAATTGATGTATAGCTTCATCATAATTCAAATCAAAATTTTTGGGTAGAAATTTTCAACTTCATTCTAAAATTTATATGGAAATGCAAAGATCTAAAATAGCCAAAGTGATTTTACAAATTGAAGTATGTGATATCAAAATTTGCTATAAAGCTACAGCTACCAAGACAGTCTGGTAATGGTGAAAGGACATCTAGATTAGGGGAACAGAATGGAGTTCAGAACCAGACCCAGGCATTTCAACTGATTTTCAGCAAAGGTGCCAACCAGGCAATATAACAGGGGAAGGAGAGTCTTTACAACAAACAGTACTGTAGCAACTGAATGTCCACAGGGAAAAAAGTGAACTTCAATCTTTATCCACATAAGACACAAAAATTAGTTCAATGGATCATATACCTAAATGTAAAAACTAAAATACAAAATTCTAGGAAAAACATGGAAGAAAATATTGGTGACTTGGGATTAGAAGAATTTCTTAGATATGCCACACAAAATCACTAACCAAAACAAACTAATTGGTTGGACTTTAAAAAAATTGAAAACTAAGGATGTTCAAAAGACAGCAGCAGAAAAAAATAACACAAACCACAACTGGCATACATAAAAATGACAATGGACCCCTGTATTCGAAAGTGATCATGGGCTGCCCGTGCCCTGGTCATTGATAGTGCAGGGAGAGGAACTGCTGAAAGCATTTCCCCGTGTTTGGAGGGTCCGCCCTGTCCCTTCTAAACCCTGGAGCTTTTGCACATGTTAAATAAATAAATAAATAGCAAAGGACTTGTACTAAAACTATCTAAAGAAAGAACTCTTACAACTCAAGAAGAAAACCCACTAAAACATGAGCCAGAACTTGAACAAACACTTCACAAAATATATATGAATGGCCAATGAGTTCATGAAAAGATGCTCAACATTATTAGTAAAAGCATAATGAATAACTAAATAAATAAATCTTTTAAAAGAAATGAGTGGCTAAAAAGGAAAAGCAGAGGCATTGCTGTGTCTGGATTTCTTAAATGTGATGGAACAACTTGTGCAAAATTTAAAGGCAAGGACAAGGAGGCCCTGTCACATCTGTACCCAGAGAACAGGACAGGTTATCAGAGAAGACAGTAACATGTGAGAGAATATATACAAGGAGTTAAGTTGGGGAGCTCATGCTAAGGACACCTCAATGTTCGTCCCAGGCCTGGAGCATTTAGAAAAGCTATCCAAAAGGTAACAGTTGCCCATTGGAACCTTTCAAGAATGGCAGAGCTTGTTTTCCTGGAGTGGCCTCACCTCCCAAGTCCTCTCACTCACCAGAGCAAGTGCCTCCTGTCCCCACCTCCTTCACCATCCAGGGCTCTTTCCCTTGTTCCAGCAGTGAGATCACCTCTGGCTTAGAAACTGAGACTCCTGCTTGAAAGAAATAAAGGAGGCGTTAGCCAGGCCCTGAATCAGATCAAGTTTCTTGGTCATCAGGAGGTGAGGTCATTATAGGGGGAGTTATGGAAGAGAAAGTGTTCTGAAGAATGCCAAACAGGAAGTTCAAGGAATAGTCTAATGAAGTTGCCGATTCTACAAAACTCAGCTTGTTTGCAGGAGCACGAGAGAGAGAAATTCAGTGAATTATATCAGAGGCTTCTCAAACATTAGGTTGGAGAGCAGCCCTACATGCAGATTATGAATTACAGGGGGGCCTTACCCAGTGACACCAGGTTCCTGTAGTTCTCCAACATCACCTTCCTGTACAAATTCCTCTGAGCAAGATTCAGCCATTCCCACTCCTCTTGAGAGAAATCTATAGCCACATCCCCAAATGTCACCAAATCCTGAAATGACATAAACATACTCCAGTCCAACTAGTGTTCTTACCCTCACATTGGCATAGTTTGAAGAGCTAAATCGTCTATACTTTCGGAAAGAAATATTACACATAGTGCAATTTTCTAGTAGTGCCTTGGGTTCTGAGCAACACATGTCAAGTAATTGCTGGATGACTTCTCTGTGCTTAGTTTTGATATTGCCATGGTAAGTGTACAATTTCATAGTCTCTACTGATGGAGAAAAGATTTATAACACAAAAATGGGCATTAACAATCAAGGGTAAAGTAATACTTTATTCATACTAAATTCTAGTGCATTTCTCAATAATGGAAAATAAGACTGGATTGGGGCAGTGAAGAAAGGCTTCAAGGACAACACAGGAATGTGAGTTAAGCCTCTGAAGATGTATGTGGTCTAAACCAGCATTTTCCCAAACTCTACAGTGGAATGTTCCAGATATATCAATAGGATGTGTATATACACATCACCCTATGCTACTGATCTAGCATAATATGTAATAACATAGTAAACAAGTCTTATAGTGATTTTGCAAAAATATGATTTAAACAAGTGCAAGCCGTCACAGAGAACAAGCAGGGGCAACAGAAGATTATCTAACTGCTCTTACCCCAGTGAGTTTCGATGACAGTTGGTAACCTATCATGCTGCCTAAGAGACACATGCCTAGGTTGCAGGCCAGGTCTCCAGTGGAGGGTGTGTGATAGGCAAGCATACATTGATGTTTCCCTCCCTTTTTTCTCTCCCTCAGTTCCCCCTCTAAAATAAATAAATAAGTAAATATTTTTTAAAAAAGGCTTCAAGGAAGGAAGGGAACTTGGGTCTGAAAAGACAAACCTTGTGCTAGGCAGAAAATAATGGTAATTTCAACCACTGCTCATTAACTTAAATAGTGAACATTTTCCATGTGATTATGAAAAGCATCAAAAATACCTACTACCCTCACTGGAGGGACATACCCAGCTTCACATAGCTAATGAGCGAGAGTTATTGCTGTGTGCTGAACTAAGGATCTTATAACGTGGAAAGAGACCTAGTCTGGTCATTAAAAACTCAAAATGTGTTGTCTTCCTAATGAGCTCCACCTGCTCCGGACTTTCCAGGGCTTGCCGGATGGTTCCATACATGGTTCTTAGGTCTGGTGTATCACAGAGCGATGCCCACTGTTAGCTGGGCCAACAGATGGCACTCAATGGGACACACCTGGATAGCTGAACTGACTGGTCAAACCCTGAATGACCAACTCACAGGCTGGTGAACAGCCACTGCACTGGGTCTGGCTGGCAGCCATACCCGGTCTTCCCTCAGTCCAGCAGCAGAGTGGCGAGCCTGGCACAGCACAGCCTCTGGGACCCCAGCTGGAGTAAGTTCTGGTGTGTTCCACAGCCTCAGTGGTTGTCAAATACAAACATCACTCCTATTCTTCCCATGACTCTGTAGAGTAATGCTCTCACTGAATGTAAGTACATAATTTCCCACAAAAATATTTTTAATGGAAAAAAATGAGTCAATAATATGAATCACTAATGCCTGAGCAGTGGACAAAAATGTTAAGTAGCCTATAAGGGAAGCAAAAATATGACTCTCAGAAACATCAGTTACACGCATCAGCTTCCATCGCTAAAACATGTCATAATCCAGGGTAATCTGAGAGGTGAGTAAAGGCTTCAAGGAAGCCCAGGCTGGTGTGGCTCAGTGGATTGAGTGCCAGCCTGCAAACCAAAGGGTCGCTGGTTCAATTCCCAGTCAGGGCACATGCCTAGGTTGCAGGCCAGGTCTCCAGTGGAGGGCGTGTGATAGGCAAGCATACATTGATGTTTCCCTCCCTTTTTTCTCTCCCTCAGTTCCCCCTCTAAAATAAATAAATAAATAAATGAAATATTTTTTTAAAAAGGCTTCAAGGAAGGAAGGGAACTTGGGTCTGAAAAGACGAACCTTGTGCTAGGCAGGGTGGGGGTCACTGTCGACCATCAACTATTAAAACGCAGACTTCCAATACAAACTCTTTAAACTTTTCTGCAAGAAAAGTGTTCCTCACACATCATTTCTTCTGTAGATAGAGGCGAGGTAGGTTTTGCCAGATAAAGTTCTTAAAGGCATTTTTTTTAGCTGTACATACAAACTAACAGATTCTAGGTTTCAACGGTCTTACTGACATTTTTATCTTCACCAATGAGACTTGACTACCTTTAAAATATTTTTACACTCATTTTGGTTAGATCAAACAGAATTTTCATACAATTTTGTCATTATAAGGAAACTCAGAAGATGATATTCAGTATTTATACCTCCATTGAATTTTTTCCCTTTTCAAGTTAAAGAATCAGAAGTCCTCCACCCACCTCATGTCACCCTGCCTCCTAGGAGCAATCAAAATATATAATTAGTATATATTTGTTTAAATGTTTCCTTATACAGACATACCTATGATTATCTGTGCATACTCATTTACTTCTAAGTTTTGCTGGATGGATAATATTACATAGTATAAACATGCTGTATCTCATTTACTAAACTCCTGATTACTTTCAGTTATATGATTAACTTTTCACTCTGATTCTGCAATGTCTTGATTTCCTTAAAGTTCTAGATATTTTTCTCTCCCTTGAGACTAGAATTTCCCTGAATTGTTTAACTTCAAAAACATTTTAAATTACACTGTTCTGACCCAGCAAAAATAGGAACCAATGAAAAACAGTTGATGCCAGGAGTCAAATACTGACCTGGACACAAAGAAATCGTAATAGGGGTTCTTCAGGCAGAAGAAAAATTAGAGGAAATGGAAGCACAGAAACATAGGAAGAAATTAAGAGCCCAAAATAGTAACTATAAACCATATGTAACATCTAATAATAAGTTACCTTGGAGTTATAACACTATAAGGGTCTTGTTCAGGAAGTGGTAAGAGTACTAATTATAGAAACAACATTACAGGAGGAAGAAAGAGAATTATTACCTAATGATTAATGGATACATATTCAAGAATGGCTACTAAAAGAATAATAATGTACAGTTAACAAGGTAATACGGGGAAAACACTTGATTTATCCAAAAGAAGGCCAAATAGAAAAGTAAAGGAAAAGAACAGATGGAATAAGTAGAAAACAAAATGCAGTGTGATGGATTTAAACACAAATACATCACTAACTGCATTAAATGAAATGTACTAAACACAAATTTAAAAAACAGATTATCAGCCTGGATTTTCAAAACCCAACCAACGTTTTGCAGGGAGACACAGGGACTGTGAGAGGCACACAGGGCCACCGGAGACCCCAGTGTGAGCACAAGGCGGGAGGAACACCAGATACCAGAATGCTGCTTACAGAGGCATACTTTCCATGCAAGCTTGAGAGGCAGAGGTTCTCAAAAAGTGCGCATCAGCACCGTCCTGGGGCTCCATGAAAATGTGGTTTCGTAGGCCCCACCACCAGAGACCGTGACTCAGGACGTCCAGGGAGGGATCCCAGACAGAGCACTTAGGGTGATGGGCTCTGTCTGTTCCATATATGCTACCCTTGCTTTTTCCTCCCATTACCAACTCAGAGGCAGCAGAGGAGAGGTAGCTGGCTCTGGCCTCCATGGGATTTATGCCTTTGTTCATTCACAGGTGAATTTGGCACATACAGGGTGCGGCCAGAGTAGGCTTACAGTTGTGAGTATGCGAAAGTTTATTGTTGAATTATTTATTTATTATATTTCCATACAAACAACTGTAAACCTACTTTTGCCCCACCCTGTACTACCTACAACAGTTGTAAGAGTTGGGAATACAAAGGTGGACAAAATATAGTCCCTCCCCTTGTGGAGTTAATATTCTAGCAGAGGAGAAAACGTTAAATAAAACGTGATACAGTGCCTGGTAGTGTTAACTGCTCTGGTAAGAAAATGAGGGCGATTGAGAGTGCCGGGGATATTTATTTTAGATAAGCTGATCAAGATAAACTTAAAGAGGTAGTGTCTGAACAAGAATCCAAAGAAAGAAGGAGAGCAGGCCACACCAGTGTCTGTTCAGAGAGAGGAAACAGCCTGGATTGTCTGAAGAACAGCAAGTTGACCAGCATGACTGGGGCAGAGGGATGTCAACCCTTGCAGAAAACGAGGTCTGGGGTAGCCTGGGGCTGGGCCATGTAGGGCATGAGAGGCTGTGATAAGGACACTAGATTTCATTCCAGGTAAAATGGAAGCTAGTGAAGGCTCTGGGCCAAGGAACAAAATGACAAGCTCCATCGGTGGGCACACCGCTCGACAGTGTCCTCCCTCCTTGCCTACCACCCTTTTCAAACCCTCACTCATTACCACCTATGTTCCTGACCTTCATCACATACTGTAGTTTCCAATAACCACACAGTCACCAACCAGTGACAGAGATATGTTCCCTTCCTCCCTTGGACAAACTCACCCCTCCCATTTCCTTCCTGGCTTTATCATTTGATAAAGCTAGAACCACATGTAGCCAGTTAAATTTATCTTATTTTATTTTAAAGATTTTATTTATTTTTAGAGAGAGGGGCAGGGAGGGAGAAAGAGAGGGAGAGAAACATCCATATGTGGTTGCTTTCCACCCGCCCCCAACTGGGAACCTGGCCCGCAACCCAGGCCTGTGCCCTGAGTGGGGAATAGAACCAGTGACCCCTTTGATAGGCAGGCTGGCACTCAATCCACTGAGCCACACTAGCCAGAAGCCAGTTAAATTTAAATGAGTTAATGTTAAAAGTTCAGTTCCTCAGTCACACGAGTACAAAAAGTGCTCCATAGCCATGTGTGGCACATGTCTATCATCAGTTGTCACAGGAGGGTGCACCGGCCAATGCTGATTTTTGCCTCTGGCTCATCTTCCTCTTTACAACCATCCTCCATGTTTTCCTCTATCAGTTTGCATGGTTTTATTTTTCAGAATGAACCTGCACAATGTAAGGAAGAAATTTTTTTTCTAAATGAATGACCCAGCCTGCCTCCACTAATTTAACATCATTATATTATAGTATAACAAACAAACTAGTAGACACTAAATTCCGGTAGACAAAGACAGAGTATGTTTTTTTTACCATAGCGTTGCCAGCACTTGGTATAGTAAGTCTTTAATAACTATATGTTTAGCGAATGAATCGGTATTCTCCATTCTTATTTATACTTGCATTTGTTTCTTCTTGCTCCCATTCCAAACTATTTACTGTTAAAGATGTACATAGCCATTTTTAAATGTGGATTCAAGTACTCCCTATTATCATTCTTTTACTAAAAATTTCCTGGTATTTTTCCATAGTAATTCCACTAATCTTAACTGGATGACCTAGAATATACTACCTGTAGTACCCTACTCACTCAGGATGTCCCTAAAACAAGACCTCTTTACTCCCATGGAATGCTACTCCTCAAAGCCCACAGCATGCCTGGAAAAAAATCCCTGCCCAGCTGACCTATGCTTTACTACGCAAGACCCAACTCCTCAAAATCACCCCGAGCAAGAGACCTTGTCTGGTATTGTGACTAAGACTACCCAGCAGCTCACATCTTGCCTTCCTTTCAAACCTGGTCCCATGGTGGTTACATTTGAACGCACACCTTGACCTCAGTGAATCAAGTCCCTGCAATCTAGGAGTGGTTTTTTCCTGGCTTAACAGTTCCTTACCCAAGGAGGTGCTAAACTATTTCTTGAATGAAGATGAAAATGCTGAGAGGAAGCTCACTGGGCTCTTGGGGACCTCCTTTTACTGGACTGAAGAGCAGGAGGACCACGTCACTAATAAATGGGACTTTGTTAGGCTGGGGAGTTTCAGAAGAAAACCAAAACGTTCACATAAAACCTGAAAAACATTTCAGGGAAGGGAGAAGAAATGCTTCCTTACCTTGGACATGGCTTTAAGAACTTAAGAATTTATGACAGGTTCTCTGTCTTTTTCCTTCAGGCTCCTCTCTGGTAGAAGGGCAGTGTCCGGAGAAAACAGAGCTGGAGGGGGAGAAAGAAACCCTGCCTCACCAGCCGAGGAACCCCCCTGCCCTCCCCCACAACAGACATAGAGTAGAGGTTATCACTGGATCTGTCATTCCTGCTTAACTGTACAGCTCTTTCTCCCGTGTGCTCTAGAGCTCAAGAACCCAATATAAACTTTCTCTGCACACGATAGCTCCTCCTCTATAAACAATAACAGTATCAACTGTTCAGAATGGCACTGCCATGTAAGGACCACCCCTCCTTCACACATGAAATTATTCAGGGCTTCATGGTAATGAGTAATTGAGCCCAATGGGAATCCAGGTCCAACTTTTAATCTTTCCACCAGATGCTGATATTGAAAGGAAAAATGTCTACATAGATGAGAAATAAGCTACAGAGTGACTGCCTCTGAGAAAGCATCTTTACACAGACATCAGAGAGGTCATGTGCTCTGTAGGACACTGGACCGGAGTCAGGACTCAGTGCTTCTGGCCCTGGCTTACAACTAACTGCATCGGAAAACAGTCTATTTTTCTGAGCAATTCCTCAAGAGAGACAGGGGTCAGAGACTACACATGAAGAGTCACTGAAACGCCTTAATCAAGAATTAGTTCCCACTAACCTGCAGCCTACTTAGTGTAACAACCACTAAGTTTGGGGATCAAAGTGCCTCGAACACCCGATCCCCCACCACTCACTAGCTCTGCAACCGCCCTCGAGTTTTCAACCACTCCGAACCTTAGTTTCCTCATCAGAAAAATGGGACCTCCAACTTATAAGCTGTCGGCACGATCTGGAGACGCTCCACGTAAAGCACTGAGCGCAGTGCCTGGACACCGTTTTTGACCTCCTTTGTGATCTATCCCTGTCAGTCGTCATCCCATTTATTTTCGGTAACAGCACACAGTAGGTTCCCCCTTTCTGTTCCAGCAACCTGGACTTCTGCTGTCCAGGCCTGAGGCTGGCGCTGCTCTGTGTTTCCTCCTCGCCCTCCCTGTCTTCTTTGCCGATTATCCATCTCTGCCCCTTCATCTCAACTCTGTTCCCAACCCTGGGGCATCGGCGTCCCCGCACCGCGCAAACCACAGGCCTCCTTCTGGCAGCTCCCCTGCAGTCCTCCTAGTCGGCCCCACAAAGCCATTCTGGGTCCACGGTCACATTGACACACAGTGTCACTAACAGACTCACTAACAAAGTGTCACAGTCCGAAGGCCACACTCTAACGCGGTCTCACGTGACCACACACCCAGCCCCACAGTTGCCCACTCATTGTCATAGGCAGGGTCGCATACGTTCTCACGCAGTCACACTGTAACAAGGGCCTCACTCTGTTGCAGACACACACACACACACACACACACACACACTCGGTGACGCCTTACACAAGATCGCCCCCGGTCCCACTTTGTTCCCACGCGCGGTGACAGGCCCCTTCACGCGCCCGCCCGCCCGGGACTCCTCACCGCCTCCTGCCAGCAGGTCGGCACCTCCCTCCCCGCGGCGGGCAGAGGCCGGACGCCCAGCATCCCCGCGAGCCAGGGAAGGAACTCGATCCCGGAGCGGACTAGCGGACTCACAAAAGGGCCGGGGCGCTCAGGCGGGCAGCCGGTGCCGGCCGCGGTGGCCGCTGGGAAATGGAGTTCAGGGCGGGACGCAGCGCCGAGCATCCTGGGACTGATCGCTGGCGTTCGACGCGGCGGTCCTCCCTCCTCCTTTTCGAGAGTTCTCGGAGGCGCTCCTCTGCCCCCGGGATCCACCCTGAGAGGCCGCCCCCGCGCCGAGGCCCGCCCAGGCCTAGGCGGGCGACTGGGACTGCGCAGGCGCAGCTTGCTCGAGTCGCCGAAGGCGTCCAGGCGCAGTTCAAGCGCCAGGCGCACGCGGCAAACGCGGCTCTGATGCGCAAGCTCCGTGGACCAGCCCGCGAGAAAAGGTTCCGCAGACGGTGTGCGAGTGGTTAAAACATCAAGTTGTCTGGGATTTCTTTCCTTTTTCTTGTTTCTTATTCCCCCCACCCCTTTCTCTGTAGCCATTTATTGAGCGCTTCTTTGCCAGGCACCGTCTTGGGCGCTGAAGACACAACTGGAGCATGCAAAAATACCCCAATTCTAATGAGGGAGAAATTCAATAGAAAAGAAAAAAAAAAAGGATAGTGATGTATATTCGGAAGTGATACGTGTTACAAGGAAAAACATAGCGGAGTTTATAGGTTATTCTTTTAGTTCATCATTCTTTCAATAATACCCTCTTATTCATAATGAACCTGTTTTGAAAATATTTTATAAACTGCCTCGGTTAATCTTTCATTCATGTCTCAGCACTTCCAAAATTGAGTTGTACACTTAAGTGCTTCAATAATTTGTTCCGCCAAAGTCACCAATGACAAAAACACATGAACTGGGAGCTTTTACATGGAGGAAATAAATGTAACTGAAGCCCTGGCTGGTGGCACTCAGTGGATTGAGTGCCAGCCCGTGAACCAAAGGGTAGCTGGTTCCACTCCCAGTGTAGGCAATTCCTGGATTGTGGGCCAGGTCCCCAATAGGGAGCATGCAAGAGGCAACCACACATTGATGTTTCTCTCTCTGTGTCTCCTTCCCTTCCCCTCTCTCTCAAAATAATTAAATAAAATTTTTAAAAATATGTTACTGAAGCACTGTTTATAGTAATAAGTTGTCGATATAAACAATATGGCTACAAGTAGAAGAATGATTAAATACGTAATCTATCCACTTGAAACTATACAATTTATAAAAAGAATAATTGTCTGATGAAGCAATACGTGAAAATACATCTTAGGTTTTTGTTTGTTTTTTTAAGTAGGAACAAAACTGTTACAATTGCATTAAGACTCAATATTGGAAAACTTCCTATGTGTAAAAAGTTAAAGGAGCACAGTCCACAAAAACAATAGTGGGGAGAGACCTGGTTCTTGCTGACGCATGTAGAGAATTACAGATCAACAAATCTCTTAAGGTGTAATCAAAGTTTATTAGTGATCCACTCCCATGGAAGAGAACGGGTCTAGCTAAGGTGGGGCGGGGGAGGTGGGTGAAAGGCAGAGGCTCAGGGCAAAGCAGGGTGGCAAAAGTAAGGGCGGCTGAGGGCCAGGGTGGGAAGCCCCTGGATGGCCAGAGGCTGGGCAGCCAGAGAGCCAAGAGCATTAGTCCTTTGTTCTGAGGATTTACATAGTTGGCCGGATGGGAGTAAAAAAGTTACATATTCATTGACAGGTAAACGTGGTGCTAGCTTTCCCAGGGGGATGTGACTACTCAAACTTAGGTGTGTGTGGGGGTCTGCTGGCCTGAATCCTTATCTTGCTTCAGACCCCATTTGTTGATCTTGTTGCAAAAAAGATATGTGAGGGGAGGCAGTTAAAGTTGCGGCAGTTGTCCAAAGTTATTTATGGGCTCTCTCTGTAAGCATTAGGGGCTCCCTCATAAAATAGTGACCAGAGATAGGCAATTAACCAAAGTTGTTTTATGGGTTTCTTTGGGCTCTGTGGACCCTCTCCCCCATTTCAGGCCTTGGGATGAAAGCATAGTGTCACGGCCTTCTTTCCCAGATAGTGGAAATGCTACATAGGATTTCAAGGGCATCCCTCTTTCCTTGCTAACATAGCAAGGTAATAAATAAATGTTTCTGGTGGTGGGTGTTGGAACACCTGGCAATATTATCAGACCAGGCTCAGGATTGCTGAATTAGTGGGTGAGACACGTCTCCCTCCTCCTCTCTGCCTTGGTTTACTACTCATTTTACCTAAGTGCTAAAAGGTGCTTCCTGGCAACCAGGGTGCTCACTAACAGGATGGTAGTGAGAAGGGGTTGGATTCTTGTAATGCAGGAGGTTGAGCCTGGGGATCTCAGCTGTCTGTTCGGATAAGCCAAGAAAACCACAAGGAGGACTGGATGGAGCACACATATCCTTTATTACATTACAGGAAGCACCAACGGCGCAGATTGGTGAAGCAGGGCCACACCTCCCTGACTCTGAGACTTAAGGCGTCCCAGACAAAGGGGGCACGGTCTTGTGTGTGATTGTAAATTACATTACCTCAGTGTGTACATGTAGAAAGAAAAAGGTCAAGAAACAGTCACAGGACAGGAACTACTCCCAAAGGAGGATAAGGAGGACATTAATACATATTCAAAACAATATACATTCCTTCTGGCCAGGAGACCCTCTGGCCAGCCTTCCATTACGGGTGTTAGAAGAGCCATATCCAGCACGAATCCACAATCTGAGGAGCTGACAGGATTTGCTAATTTATAGGGTAGAGTAGGACAAGAAAGAGCAGTAGTCAAGGATAACTCCTGGGGATTCTGAGCTGAGTAACCCGGAGAACAGTAACAGCAATTACTGAGGTAGGGAGACCTGGAAAGGAGTACATTTGTGGAGGTAAGATCGGGCATTTGGTTTGGAATGGGATAGACTGAAATGTCTGCTAGATGTACAAGTAGAAATATGGAGTATCACATTAGGGGATGAGTCTGGGCTAGAATATTAAATTAGGAAGTATTAATATCAAGTAGATAGTCAGAACTGAAAACTAATCATGTTGAACACCTTTTAATTTGTGTGTCTTTGGAGAAATATCTACTCAAATCCTTTGTCCATTTTAAAAACTGCTACTTGTGTTTTTATCAGTCGCTTTAAGTGTCCTTTACATATTCCAGATACAAGTTCTTGCCAGCTGTCTGAACTGTTTTTGACAAAGGTACAAAAGCATTATAATGGAGGAAGAATAGTCTAAACAAATAGTGCTGGAGCCATTACACATTCTTCCTCCACCCCCGTCCCTCCTCCCCATCCCCAAAGAGGGCTTTGACTCACACTTATTTACAGATATAAACTTAGAATAGATCATAGACTTAAAATTGCTCCATACTAAGCCAAAAACAAATGTATTGTATCTTCATTGTGCCTACTGAGGGCAAAATAAATGCATTTGGCTCTCAGGATTCCATATTTTATTTCCAGTGCTCAAGATTATGTAATTAATTATTACATCAAACTTAGATACCCTGGCAGACATGTTTGCTCATTGCCAATTTGGAATTGATAAATGTGGTTTTGTGTAAATCCAAGTCAGTCTTTTTTTTTAAGGTTTTATTTATTTATTTTTGGTGGGGAAGGGACGGAGAGAAACATCAATGTGCGAGAGATTCACTGCGAGAGAAACATCAATGTGCGATCCACCACCATCCTGTTCCTAGATTAGACCTGAGGTGGACGTTCAGTGGAAGAGGGAGATCACTGGCTCAGAGTCATGGTCACTTCTGGGAAATGTGCTCAAGCTCCACAGGTCAGGGTAAGCAGAGAAAACAGTCCAATCTCTGGGCCTGAAATCTGAGTCCAGTCTGATCATACTGGCTGGCCACAAATGACCTGCCCTTACTCTTTGACCTCAGGTTCCTCACCTTCAGCCTCATTATGCCGTGCTTTGTGATCCTGCTCAAATCTGTTCCCAATTATGCTGTGGAGAAGCCAGATGCTCTGCCTAAGGACTGACCAGAAGCTCTGATGTTAATTCCATCTCTTGTAGTCATTTCTTCAAACTGTCTAGCCCAGAAGAAGCCTGGAATGGTCCAGTGGCCTTTTATGGCACCATTGTACCCTATCTCCTCTAGGTCCTAGTGCTGGGTCCTAGCCCTTTGTTTCTCTGTTTCCGTGAGGCTTCGTTGCCTCTGTGACATCATCTCTTCTGTCTCTTGATACTTTCTCCAAGACCCCACACTGGTTCACCCACCACTCAGAAACCAGAGGCAGCATTTCCTCCACTCATAAGTACTAAAGTCTTATAGCCACACTCTGCCACACAAATTCCAGTCACTTGTTTTCCCAAATTGTGTTGTGTCAACTGAGCAAATTGGTGCTCTGCCTTGGTTCCTCCTCTCTGCTCTGAGGTCTTGAATATGCCTTCAGAGAGAAAGCCAGTGTGACTGCAGAACACCTTTATTTCCCATCTTGCACTACCAGTTGTCCAATGCCTGAAAAGACTGGTTTCTTACACATTATCTAGTTTTTTGTTTAGAGCTGGCTGGCAAGTTTAATACAATGAAACCATTATAGTTGGAAGCAAGGAATCCTCCTTGATGTTGTTGAAGCAGTTCCCGTTTTGGCACAAGAAGATAACATACTCAAACTGTCTATTTCCAAGGGGGACTGAGGAAGTGGCTCTGGGACTAACTGTATGCAGAGGGATGGTTTCCTCATTCAGAGTCCAGGCATAACAGGGCTTGACCAGCATCCAGAACATGGGACCCCTGACCGCAGGGGGCCACACTGCCTCAGGATGTGTGAAGTCCAGGAGTCCCCACGCTTCCACACACAGAAATTGAACTGCCAGTGGCAGTAGGGAACTCGGCGTAGGTGTCGTCTCATTTACAACATTTTTGCTGATTTTGCATTCCCATTCACAATCTACAAAACAAATCCACAATTTATTTCAACGTAAATATAATGTTTAAAATTGGTTATCAGATAAACTCTTGGTTTTTCTCCCCCTCCCTCAAACCTTCTGGTACGGTGCCTGCTCCACGTAAATGGTGATTTACTAGATGAGACAATTTTTTCACACAAACATTCTTTTACTCAGTCGCACACAAGCGCTGAATGGTCCTGATTGTGGACGAACAAGGGACCACTAATAACACTGACAAACTCAGGGTAGGCCTGCATGGCGACCTTACAAACTCAAGAGACCGAAAGTAACCGCGTGATGATCCGAAAGTAACAAATGATGACAGAATTAAGGACCAAGTCAGAACCAAACACGACAAACTACGTCACAAGAACCAGCGCACAAGCAGTCACGGCCACTCACACACCCTCAAGCAGAGATGAGCGCAAGAAGACACCACGTCCCACTCACAGACCTTCACACAACAACCCTCTGAACAGAACCCTCTCCGTCCTGTCACAGACTGCTCCCACCTACTCCTGCGTGTACCTTCAGGTCCCGCCCACTACGAAACATCGCGAGATCCAGCCTCACAGCTTGGCTACGGCTTTTACACCTAGAGACTACGTTTCCCAGAAGACTCTGCGATGCAGATCCAATCGCGACCGAGCATTGGCGCGGCTTTGTGCGTCTGCGCCATCTTCCGGCTCCACGCAGCGAGTCCGCCGGTACTGAGAAGGAAGCGCATCTGGGTCTGCGGGGGAGCGCAACCGCGGTGGCACCTGGACACGAGGAGGCGGCAGGTGAGGAGCTCCGGAGGTTTCCGGACGCTCCGGGGTCATTGAGGGAACCGGTGCCGCGGCCGGGCGGGTCTCGGGCCAGGGAAGAACTGGAATGTCTCACCCTAGTGTCGGTCTGCGGGTTCCCGTGCTCTGGACTACATTTCCCATCGGCCCCCGGGGTGCGCGCCCTGTTGTCCCCCCTTTGGTGTCACGGCTCTTAATCCGGGTCCCTGGACCCCTTAGGTGGGTGTGAAGGGGTCCCGACCCCGCGAAAATGTTTGAGGGTGTTTTGCGTCCCTTCTTACGCATACCTTTTAAAAAAAAATCTGGGCCGAAGTCTTGTTCCATGAGATTCACAAAGAGCTGCAAGTCCCCCCAAAAGATTTAGAAGCAGACATATACTTGGGAACATTTTAGGCGATTTTATTCAAAATCTGTGTCCAGCAGTGGGGAAGGGGTCAAGGAAATCCTGGGGCACTCATGTCGTAAAATGTTGCAGATAACGCTAAAATAATATTCATAGGAGAAAAAAGTCATAACACCATATCAAGGGACGTTTGTAATTATCTCATTCACACATTGCTTACAATGTTTGTAAAAGAAAAAGAAAAAAGAAAGAAATATTTGTCATGCGTCGGGCACTGTCCCGAACTCCTTCATAAACAGCTCAAGAAGTGATTAAATGACATCATTTTTAACGCTTGGATTTTTTTTTTCCAATTTTTTTTGTGGTGGCTTTTTTCCTTTTTTACCCCCCATGTGTCCCTAGGGGGGTGGGTTTAACTTCTTTTCCTGATTATCCAGAAATAGTTTTTTAGCATTATCTGTAAAATTTTACAAAGGGTCCGCTTCTGAATGTCTTTCGTTGTCAGTTAACATTGGTCATTCATCTGGGCCCTCATTGATTCAACCACTTGCCTATTTGTGAGCTGTTAACGTACTGATTTCTGGTTCTGTGTTCCAGCAAATACTCTGTGCATGCAGCTTCACAGTTATGCCTATGCAGTGGCCTGTCTCCATCTAATTTGCCCCGTGCAACCACACCCCATCTGTTGACTCAAGATGGGGTTCACCAGATGGTGTCCACTAGGCCTTAAGTAGGGCTGTGGGGCTCTTTGTGAATTTGGAAGTTGACGAGAATGCCGGGAAGACTTGTGAAGGCATTACATTGTGGGCGTGCGGGAGTTAAATGGTTAGGTTCTGGGAAGACTTTATTCTTGGCTGGGTTGATTTGGGTCAGTCAGGTTCTCTCTTCTTCTGGCCTGAGGACAACCTTCCTTTTTTTTCTTTTTATTTCTTTTAATTAAAAAAAAAAAATCAACTTGAGAAAGAAAGCGAGCGAAACATTGGTTTGTTGTTCCACCTATTTATGCATTCATTGGTTGATTCTGACTGGGGATCAAAGCCACAATCTTGGTGTATTAGGATGACACTCTAACCAACTGAGCTACCCAGCCAGGATGAGGAAAGCCTGCCTTGTTCTTGGGACGCCATGTGGTCTCTCTCACTGGACCAGGTCTAAGCATCCCCATCTCAGATTTCCATTAGTGACAAGGTGGAATTCTCTGGATATCTAGGGGAAATGGGAAAGGCCCGTGGTTTCTCTGTGTCCTTGCAGCATCTAAAGCTGAGCTTTTTGAAACTGGGTGAGGGGCACAGTTTGTCCAACTCTCTATAATTTGTTGGTAGGTGGCAGTTAGAGGGGTTCTAGGGGGTGCGAGGCAAGCCTGGTCCTTTCATGTTTGTTCTTTTCTCCCCCAGTTCTGCCATCTCAGGATTCTGCTCTTCCCCAAGAGAGGAGCCAGGAGGAGGCCCCATCAGCCCATGAAAGTCTGAAAGTCATGTCCATCGTGAGTTTTAAGATCATGTAAATACTTTCTTTCCTTATCCTGAAGCTTCCTTCCCACCTGGTTTCCATTTGCGAATCTTGTTCTCAAAGCTTCCCATTTTCAGGAGTAGAAGGACCAGACAGCTAGTATCTTCTCCCATTGCCCTTTTGTATTAAAAAGTGTTTGTTTGGGAGTTTTTTTTATTCCATAAACGTAGAAATTCTAGGTGTCACATGGACAATATAATACATGCCAGGGACAGAGTAACTCACAGTTGGGAAAACTCCAGTTAGCTCGATTTTAATTTTCATCCCAGACTTGTGTGCCAGAGCTTTGGTTTGTAGTAAAAAGGGATGTTCTGGAACACCTCACTCACGCCCTCGTTCTGCCATCTGCTCGCAATGGAGGCCTGCAGCCCCAGCCTTCTTTTCCACCAGAACGTCCCATTCCTGCAGAGACCTCCTCTACCTCCTGTCATCCCGCCGAGAGACGCTTCCGAGTTGTGTGTATGTGACATGCCTGCCTGTCGTTGCAGGGGTCAGACCTGTTCAGGGATGTGGCCGTAGTCTTCTCCCAAGAAGAATGGGAGCGGCTGATGCCTGCTCAGAGGGACTTGTACAGAGATGTCATGCTGGAGACCTACAGCAACCTGCTCTCACTGGGTAAGGGCCCTGCTCTGGGAATTCGTAGGTCCCTGTTGGGCATGGCTGTCACTTCCTTTTCAGTTTCGGGGTACCCTCTGAGTGCCTAAGGGGCAGCTCCGTGGGCTGAAGCTGCATTATCCCCAGCCCTCAGGTGACTGTCACGTCTTCCCCTGTCCCTTCCTGCCACAGCCTCTTGTTCTTGATAACCAGGCACTGGATCCAAATTCTGGGCCCCTCACCATAACTGGGTATCACATTCTTTCTTGCGTTCAGATCTTGCCATTTCCAAACCCGATGTGATCTCCTTCCTGGAGCAAGGCAAGGAGCCCTGGAGGGTGGAGGAGGCAGCGACCGGAGGCCTGTGCCCAGGTGAGTGAGGCACGTGTGAGAGGAGGGAAGCCACCGCAGATAACTAGTGAAACCGTCCAGCTGGTCGGCAAGGAAGCAGGCCCTTGGAGGTAGAAAATTTTTCCTTCAAGTCCCTAAACTCAGAGGTCAGTTCCCAGGCATCATCTCTGGCAGCTGGTCGGCAGCATTTGACAAACGTGGTTTCTTTCCTGAAGCATTTGTACATTTGGGTCATCACTGCCTCTCTCATCGCCTGGCCCGTTAAGCCACCCTCAGCCTCCTCTGTTGGATATTCTACCTTCTCCGATGTCAGGCTCGGACGTGGGCCTCTTCCGTCCCGTTTCTTCCCACTCCCCAGGACCTTCTCTGTCACTGTTCATACCTGGCCTGGCCTGTATGGCGCCAATGCACAGTCATTGAAATTTAAATTAATTACAATGAAATACATTTAAAACTTCAGTACCTCAGTTGCAACTGCCATATTTCAAATGTTCAGGAGCCACTTTCTGGCTCGTGGCCACTGTATTGGACAGCACAGATACGTAACATCTCTATCATTGCAGAAACTTCTGTCCCAGAAAACAGATCGCCTTTGGATTCCCTTTGCATCTCCCTTACCCTCCATCGACTCACCCAGCTGCCTTCTGATCGTGGCCACCAGGGCATTCACCAAGCACACCAAAGCGAACAAGTCCCAGAAGGAGTCTTTGACCCACCCTGACAAGTCTAGTTTTCCCCGTTCTACATTTCGGTAACAGGGCACTTGATTCTTCAGCTTGCTCGAGTCAAAAACTATTGATACACCCTGGCCAGGTGGCTCAGTTGATTGCAGAGTCTTCGGATACACCAAAAAGTTGCAGGTTCGATCCTAGGTCAGGGCTCGTATGGAAGGCAACCGGTTTATGTTTCTCTCTCCTTTCCTCTCGCCCCTCTCTGTAAAATCAATAAGCATGTCCTCGGATAAGGATTTAAAAAAAAAAAGTCTTGGTGCATCCTTAACTTTTCTCTCCCACACAGCAAATCCTGTTTTCTCTACTTCCAAATATGCCCAGAGTTTAACCACTTGCAAGCAGCACCCCTGCCACCGCCACCCCCCCCACCATAACCTTTGGCTTGAACTGTTGCAGTAACCCTCTCCCCAGCCGTCTATTCCCACTCTTGTTTTTTCAGTGAGGGTGTGTTACATCTCTGCTTAAAACCTGTCAAGGACTTCCCATCTCACTCAGGAGAATCTCCAGAATCCGTAGCAAGGCCTACAAGGCTTTATGTCTGTGCTGTCCAGTACAGTACCCTCCAGTCACACGTGCTATGCAAATTTTTACCTTAACTAAAATTAAGTAAAGTGCGCCCTGGCTAGGTAGATCAGTTGGTTAGAGCATCGTCCCAATATAGTAAAGTTGTGGATTCGATCCCCATTCTGGGCACATACAACAATCAACCAATGTATGCATAAATAAGCGGAACAACAAATAGGTGTTTTGTTTTGGAGACCAAAAACGTCCCCAGACATTGCCAAGTGTTGCAGGTGGAGTAAAATCTTCCCCGATTGGAAACCAAAGTCACCGTGGGACATGATACCAAGAACATACCCATAAACAGTTTCTACAATGTGGAGTGTATTATAAGAGAACTTCAAATGGGGAACAAAGAACTAAGCCTCCCAGGTGTGGTGGGTTCTTCCACACGGAAGTAGCAGGGAAGAAGCAGTCTTGTGGACTGAGCCCTTGACCTGTGGAGTCCAACATTCTCTGTAGGAACTGTCAGAATTGACTCTCTAGGACACCAGGGAATTGGAAGAGTCGTTTGGTGTGAGGGTAAACCGACAAATGTTTGGTGATCCAAAGTGTCAGAAGTGAAGAGAGGTATTGAGAGGTTCCCCAAAAGGAAACCCTGTACCCGTTTAGTGGTCACTCTTCATTCTCCTCCCCCGCACCCCTAGCCCCTGACAACCAGCAATCTGCTTCGTGTGTCTATAGATTTGCTTACTGTGGATATTCTACATAAACGGACTCATACCGTGTGTGGCCTTTTGTGTCTGGCTGCTTTTTACCCAGCATAATGTCTTTACAGTTTATACCCATCATAGCATGTGATAGTGTTTCCTTCAGTTTTTATCCATTCATCTGTCAACAGACTGTTGGGCTCTTTCCACCTCTTGGCTATTTTGAATAATGTTGCAGTAAACATAGGTGTGCAAATATCTCTTTTAGATTCTACTTTCAGTTCTTTGGGTTAAATACCCAAAAGTGGAATCGCTGGGCCGTACAGTAGTTCTACATTTAATTTTTTTAGGATCCATACGGCTTTCCACAATGACTGCACCATTTTACTAACAGTGCATAAGGGCTCCAATTTCTCCACATCCTCACCAACAGTAGTTATTTTCTTTTTTGTTTCGTTTTTTTAATAGTCACCATGCTCGTGGCTGTGAAGTAGTATCTCAAAGTTTTGATATGCATTTGTCTAGTGATTAGTGATGTTAAGCATTTTTTTCATATGCTTGTTGACCATTTATTATATCCTCTTTGGGAAAATGTATATTCAGGTCCTTTGCCCATTTTTTAAAATCAGGATGGGTTGTTTTTGTTGAGTTGTAGGAGTTCTTTATATAGTCTGGGTATTTATCTGTTATCAGATATATGACTTGCAATTATTTTCTTCCATTCTGTAGGTTGTGTTTTCACTCTGTTATTTCCTTTGATGCCCAGTTATTTTTAAGTTTCATGTAGTTCCTTTTGTCTATTTTTGCTTATGGTGCAGTATCCAAGAAAGTATTGCCAAATATAATGTCATAAAGTGTTTTTCCCATGTTTTCTTCTAGGAGCTTTATAATTTTGGTTCTTTATTTCAGACTTCAGTCCATTTTGAGTTAATGTTTGTATTTCTTGTGGGTTAAGGGTCCTGCTTTATTCTTAGGCATGTGGATATCCAATTTCCTCAGCACCATTTGTGGAAAAGTAGTACTGTTGTCCTTTCCTCATTGTGTGTCCTTGTCAAAGGACATCTGAGCACATGCATGAGGGTTTTCTTCTGGGCTCTCTGTTTTGTTCCATTGGTGTACATGTCTGCCTCTGTACCAGTTTCACACTGTTTTGATTACTGTTGCTTTGTCATATGTTTTTGTTGGGGGTTTGTTTTTGTTTTGTTTTTTTAGAGAGAAAGGAACGGGGAGAGAGGGGAAACATTGATATATTCATCCATCTGTTCATTCATTCGTTGGTTGATTTTTGTATGTGCTCTGACCGGGGGTTGAACCCAGTACCTTGGTGTCAGGGACAACACTCTAACCAACTGAGCCACCTCACCAGGACTATCTTATGTTCTTTATGAGCACCTCCAGGAGCACCCATTATCTCCCTGCCCCCTGCCCCAGGTATTTCCTTGCTGTAACCACTTCTTTATTAGCCAGGTGGGTGGCTTTCTGTGATTGCAGTGAAATGGGCCACCGCAGCCAAAGTCACGTACCAGGTGGAAACAAGATCCATTACACTATTCAACTTCTTCTTGCAGTTTGAATGAGCAGTGGAGTATTCTGAAAGACACCACTCCCGTTAAGTTGGGGTCTGCCTCTATGATCAAGGAAGCAGGCCCTTCTTTTTCCCAGATCACCTTTAGGCAGTGGAAAGGACCAGGAGAGAGAGGTCCTGTTGACAGCAGCTCCAGCCTTGGTGTTCAGCTGACGTTCAGAGATAAAAAGCATCCCAGTGGAAGACTGTCTCTGGGTTCTTACAACTTCCAGGGGACATGTGATAATAGGTCCCCACATAGCACCACAGCCCCCACCAAACAAGATACACCAGTGTTCCTTTGGGTAGATGAGGATCCAGCCACCTTTGCCATCATTTCTTAAAATCCACTTTATTGAGGTTATCATTTATATTCAATAAAATGCATGTGTTTAAAGTTTAATATTTTGATGAGTATGGACAAATGTATATACATATAGCTACCGCCATAATTGAGATAGAGGGTATTTCCAAAAATGGCTTTTATAACCCCCTCCTTCATCACCTCACTCATCTCATTTACAGTATTTTCTCTTTCTCTGTACTGTTTATACATTTTCTAATTGCAGCCACATTCAGGAACCCATAGGTATTATCTTGAGTCTAAACGTTTCCATTTTTCTATACAAGTACCTTTTTTTGAAAGAGGAAAAAACTGACACATTCTTGCTCTTTTGTTCATTTGCAGTCTTGGAGTCGAATTATGATACTCAGGTCTTATCTCTGAAGCAGTCAGTCTGTGAAGTGCCATCGCCCCAGTGCGAGAGAACAGAAAGCCTTACAAGTTGTAGTCTCCAGTGCTCGAGTTTCCAAGATGACTGGGAATGCAGAAACCAATGTGACAGACAGCAAAGGAGTCCAGGTGGACCTTTAAGTCAAATGATAATCAATCACGAAGAAATACCCACTTTCAACTCTCAAGCATCCCTTACTTTTTATCAGAAAATTCATCCTGGAGAAAAACCCTATGCATATAATGACTGCAGAGAAGACTTCTGGCCAGATGACTTCCTTATCAACCATCAAGGAATTCACACTAATGAGAAACCCTATAAATGTAAGGAGTGTGGAAAGGCCTTTAAATATGGCTCACGACTAGTTCAACATGAGAATATTCATTCTGGCAAGAAACCCTATGAGTGTAAGGAATGTGGGAAAGCCTTCAATTCGGGTTCAAATTTCATACAACATCAGAGAGTCCATACTGGCGAGAAACCCTATGAATGTAAGGATTGTGCCAAGGCCTTCAGTCGGAGCTCCCAGTTGATCGAACATCAAAGAATTCATACTGGGGAGAAACCCTATCAATGTAAGGAGTGTGGGAAGGCCTTCAATCGGATCTCACATCTTAAAGTACATTATAGAATTCATACGGGTGAGAAGCCCTACGCCTGCAAGGAATGTGGGAAGACCTTTAGTCATCGGTCTCAGTTGATTCAACATCAGACTATTCATACTGGCAAGAAGCTCTATGAATGTAAGGACTGCGGGAAGGCCTTCAATCAGGGCTCAACCCTTATTCGACATCAGAGAATTCACACTGGTGAGAAGCCCTATGAATGTAAGGCCTGTGGGAAGGCCTTTAGGGTGAGTTCACAACTTAAGCAACACCAGAGAATTCACACTGGAGAGAAACCCTACCAGTGTAAGGTGTGCGGTAGGGCTTTCAAACGGGTCTCGCACCTTACTGTGCATTATAGAATCCATACAGGCGAGAAACCCTATGAATGTAAGGCATGTGGGAAGGCCTTTAGCCACTGCTCACAGCTGGTTCAGCATCAGCTCATTCACACAGAGGAGAAGCCCTGTGACTATAAGGAACAGGGTAGGACTTTCCATTGTGATCCAGCTACTGTTCAGCATCAGAGAATGCAAAGTAGAGAAACACAGGTGAATATAATAAACGTAGAAAAGCCTTCCATTGGCACTTACCCCTTGTTGATCATCAGAGAATTTATGTTAGCCAGCAACCATATGAATGGAAGCAATGGGGAGAGCCCATTGGCTTAGGCTAATGACAGCTGTGACCTTTCATCTCGGAGAAAGAACTGAAGTACAAGTCAGAATGCCTTCGTTCAGAGCTGTCCTTTCTTCCGAGGCATAAAGTTCACACTGAAGAAAATTTTTATGGATGTGAATTGTTGGGGCCATGATAGTCAAAGAAACAAGGAAAGGTTGGAATAAATTGTCTCTAACACATTCTCGGTTCACTTTTTCTAACCACCATGTGATAATTTTAACAATAGCCAAGGTTTTCATTTTCTTGTATATTGAAAAGGAAAAATAAATAAAACAGCCAAATTACTATTGGGTTAACAAGGAAATAAATCATGCAGTTACCATAAATAGTAAAGAAAATGAATGAGAGGCCGTGGCTAGGTAGCTCAGTTGGTTGGAGCATCAACCTGATAAGCCAAGGTTGCAGATTAAATCCCCAGTCAAGGCACATGCAAGAAACCACCAATAAATGCATAAATGAGGGGAACAGAAAATCCATATTTCTCTTTCTCTCCAAAATTAGTGACAAGGAGAGTATTGTTTTGTTTTAAAATTTTATTTATTGTTAGGGGAAATGGAAGAGGGAGAGAAACATTGATTGGTCGCCACTTGCACACCCCCAACTGGGGACCTGGGCCACAAACCAGATATGTGTCCTGACCGGGACTGGGAATTAAACCAGTGACCCTTTGGTTCACAGGCTAATGTGTGTGATGCTCAATCTACTGAACCACACCAACCAGGGTGACAAGGAGAGTTTTTTTACATCCCAATAGATAGACTATGTGGCTAATTGCCACTCAGAGGAATTTATGTGACCTTTATGTGCATGTGAAACATGAAAACCTTTAAGATTATACTCAAATATTCTAAATGTACTATTCAAGAAGCCAGAAAAGAATGCCAAACATCCAGATGATGAAAGAACAAGTTAATACAAAATAATGAAATAGAAAGTGGATATCTTAATCTCAATTTTATTTCTTCCTGACCCAAGAGTAAACTAAATTTAGCAGATGGTTTCTTAATTTCCATGTTGTTTTATTTTGGGTTATCTTTAATAACTTCTGTTGCAAAGAGTATAGGTTAGGTGTTTACCTAGCAGCCATACCTAGTTCCCCTTGTTGGCAGCATCTGTGTCTCGCTTTAGAATCTGAAGGTGTCAAGTGGCTAATTTTCAGCCTTCTTTGCAGCTCAGGAAGGCCACTTTGTTCCAGGGACCTGCTGGGCTTCTGGGAAAGATTCAGAAGAGACAGATATGTTAGTAAGACTTTCTTTCCTCTCATTTTCTGCTCTTAAACATTTTCCTATGAGAATGTGATGTGTGGGGTTGCTGCTGCCATTTTGGAATCAAGAGGAGAAAACTGAGAAGCTGACCAACAGACCAATTCTGAAAATGTTTCTTTGATGCCTTGTTATATAAGAAAAATAAACCTTTATTGATAAAATTAATTTTAGGTGGATATCTTGTAAACTTGCAGCCATAAGCATCCTGAATTATAATACTTGAAATTGTATTATGATTGGTAAATATGGCTTGGAAATCAATACCTACTTTCTAAAATTGGACATTTTTCTTTGTGGCTAAGTAAAAGATTGATTTTGTATATGTTCCCTAACATTGAAAGAGACTACATACTCTTTTTTTTGTTCATTTGGATACAAGGTTCTGTTTAAGCCTGTGGATTATAATGATAAAATTCTCCATGTTCTTATATTATTTGGTATATTGGATCAGAATTTCCTAAAATTGAAATTCTTGGATCAAGATTGTGAATTTCCAGAGGTTTTTACTTTTTAATTTATATTGTTTGAATATGACTTAAGCCCTATTTATGAGTCATGCCTTTTATCATTATATAATATCCTACTGTGCCAGGGTAGTGACCAACAAACCAAATCTGGCCTGCTACCTGATTTATAAATAAAGTTTTATCGGAACAGCTATGCTCATTTATTTGTTGTCTACAACTGGCAGAGGTGAGTGGCTGCAAGGAAGACTGTGGCCACAAAGCCTATGTTTGCTGACTGGCCCTGAGGATAAGAAGTTTGCCACTCTGGCCGGTGTGACTTGGTTGGAGTGTGGTCCTCTACACCAAAAGGCTGGTCTGATTCCCAGTCAGGGCACATGCCTGGGTTTTGGGTTCAGTCCCAGTCAGAGCACGTAGGAAAGGCAACCAGTCTATATTTCTCATGTCAGTGTTTCCCTCTCCCTTCCCCGCTCTCTAAAATCAATAGGTTCTCCTTGAGTGAAGATTAAAGAAAAAACTTTGCCAAATATGATCTAGTGTAATCCTCTTTGTATTTTATTTCAATACTGAATAACACTAATAATGATCTATCTTTGTTTACCTGGTATGTTTTTGCCCATCCATTTATGTTCAACCCCTGTCATTTTAGTTCTTAAAAAAAAAAAAAAAAAATCACAACTGATTTTTTTAAGCTGAATTTTTGTATAAGGAAATTCATATTTTTATCTAGTGTGCTAATTCTACTTTTTTTCCTTTTACTTAGCATTGTGCAAACCATTTATATGATTTTAGTCTTAGGTTGGCTCATTATTCCCTTGTTCTCTTGCTAAATTGGAACTTCCCACTGTGCTTAAGGTGGTGGTGATCTACCCATTATTTTATTTTAGATTTTATTTATTTTTAGAGAGTAAGGGAGAGAAACATCAATGTGCAAGAGAAACATCAATCAGCTGCCTCTCACACTTCATCCCAGCCAGGCACCTGGCCTGAAACCCAGGCATGTGCCCTGACCGGGAATTGAACTGGCAGCCTTTAGGTTTGTGGGATGATGTCCAACCCACTGAGTACACAGTGACCTTCCCATTCTTATTATTTGGTCAGAATGAGAGCACTATTATACGTTCTCACCACAATTTTCTTCGCCACTCTCCCCCGAGAAGAGACACCACCCTTGTTTTCTCTTCCTGTCCCTTCCCTAACAATGAAAATTCTTAGTCTAACACTTTTACTTTTCCTTCTATTTCATTTATTTGATGCTTCCATTACTTACTGTCAGACCTACTCATGATTTCCATTTAAATTTAAGCATACTGAGTAACACTTTGCTGGCCACGATTTCTTGTCATTATTTTCCTGATCTTGAGGAACAGTTTTATATTAAATGATATTTGGTTAGACTTTTAGTACTTATGTTTATCTCAACAAATGGTATATAGCTGGTAATCTCAGAATCCTTACATGTCAAAAAAAGTTTCTTGTATCCTCACAAATTTGTATTTTTGGTTGGTAGAGCATTTTCAGATTATAGTTTTTTTTTCTCAATAATCCATAGATATTCCCTCATTGAATTCTGGCCTCCTAGAAGAGGAACCCAAAGCTGATCTGATTATCTCAGCTTATGTAGATGTATTTGTTTCATGTTGTTGCTGTAACAAGTTATCAAAAACTTAGTGCTTAAAACAGCATAGATTGCCCTGGCAGGAACTCAGTTGGTTAGAGCATTGTCCCAAAATGCCAAGGTTGTGGGTTCAATCCCTGGTCAAGCCATAACACAAGAATCAACCAATGAATGCATAAAAATGAGTGGAACAACAAATTGATGTTCCTGTTTCTTTGTCTTTCTGGTTCAAATCAACAAAATATTTTTTTTTCAAGTTTCTTTCCATCTTCAGAATCTACAAACTTAAACTGGGTATGTTTAGATGGTCTCACGTCCTTTTGTCTTTTTTTCTCTTTCTAGCCCAAGGAAATCTTTTTCTAAATAATGTTTCTTTAGTGCTCCTCAATTGTTTTATTTCTATTTAAAAACTTCAATATTTTGAATCAGCAATATATCCTCATGATTAAAAAACTCGAAGATGTAAAAAAGGTATGCAGTAACAAGTCTATCTTTTTTTTTTCCTTCTGTTTGTTACAGCAACAGAATACCACCTCCCTGCCTTTGATTCTCAAATTGTGAGTCAACCTCTCTATGCCCACCTCACCTCTTCTTTGAATGTCAGTAATCATAATTCTTCAAAATAACCCTGCAGTCAGATTGTATTCTATTTTTTAATCTTTATTTTTTAATTTTTATTTGTTGCTGAGAGAGAAAAATCAATTTGTTATTCCATTTATCTATGCCTTTATTGGTTGATTCTTGTGATGTGCCCTTATCGGAGACTGAGCCCACAACCTTGACGGATTGGGATGATGCTCTAACCAACTGAACACTTGGCCAGGGCAGATTATTTTCTTGAGGAGGTGAGGAAAAAAAAATAAAAAAGTCGAAAGTCACTTAACAATAATTATTCCTATCAGAGAATTCATACTGGAGAAAAGTCCTAGGAATTTAAGGATTTCGGAAAGGCCTTCAGAGGGACCACATAATTTACCATCAAAGAATCCATACTGGTGAGCAGCCATATACATGTAATGGAAATGAAAAGGTCTTCAGTCATCTCTCATATCTTCCTCAACTGCAGAGGACCCATACTGGTGAGAACCATTTCAATGTACTGAATGTGAGAAAGCTTTTAGTCACGACACTAGTTATTACTCAACATCAGAAGACTTATACTGGTGAGAGGCCCTTATGAATGTAAGGAATGTGGGAAAGCCTCTAGGGTTACCTCTCACCTTATCCAGCATCAAAGAATTCACACTGGTGAGAAATGCTACAAATGCAGAGAATGTGAGAAGGCCTTCCATCATTGTCCATATCTTCCTCAACATCAGAAAAACCCATGCTGGTGAGAAACCTTATAAATGTACATTGTGGAAAGGACTTTGGGCAATGTTCATAACTTCAGTGACATCAGAAAATTCTTTTTTTTTTCCTTAAGTAAATGAAAACAGCTTTAAGCTAGTTCTTTATTTCTTTCTTTCTTTCTTTATTTATTTATTTATTTAAATCCTCACCTAAGGATATGGCTATTGATTTAGAGAGAGAGGAAAGGAGAGAGAGAGAGAGAAACATTGATGTGAGAGAGAAACAACAATTGATGGCCTCCTGTTTATGCCCCGACCTGGGATCCAACCTGCAACCTAAGTATGTGCCCTGACCAGGAATAAAACCCACAACATTTTGGCGTACAAGAGGACACTCCAACCAACTGAACCACCCAACCTGGGCAGAAAATTCATTCTTAATGTTTGCAAGAAATGTGGGAAAGCCTTCAGGCACTTTCATATTCCTTGATGTTAAGGAGTTCGTGCTACAGAAAATCCCCCTAAATAAGGGAAGTAAAGACTTCATTGGTCTCATCCATCAAGGAATAATCAAATAATTTATAATTATCAATAACCTTTTCAAATCTAAAAATGCTTTTTGGTTCAACTCATGTTACACTCATCAGCAAATTCATAGCACTCATCACTGAAGACCATATTAATATGATAATGTAGAAAAACTTCTCAACCTT